CTGAGGTGGATAAGATCTTTGTTAGGTCAGGATATCAAGGGATATGGGGCAAAGGCGGGTAATCGGAGTTGAGGTACAAATCAGCCACGATCTTATAGAATGGGGCTCAATGGCCTACTCCTGTTTATATCTGACCTGGAAAGCAGACAAGCGATAGGACTATTCGAAAAGATAAGGGAGTTTCTCCCGGTGTCATGGCCAACAGCCCCCCCTCATAAAGTCGGTCATTCACTTAATTGCTTTTTGTGGGACAAGGATATCCGCAAATTCACTACTGTATCCACTCATAAAGTACATGGTCACCACAACTTACAGTAAATCCCATGAAGCTCTTTGAGATGTTTTCACGTGATAAGCTATATCAAAAAGCAATATTATTAATATATCCACAGTTTAGTTAAAAAAAGTCCAGAATATCCCATGTAGCCTTCAAGCAATGAATCCATTTAATGAAACTGACTGGAAAAGTGGTGTTCTGTACATGTCGGATTTCAAGAACTATACTTAAGGCAGCATTTAGTTTGCAGTATTCTTTGAATAAACGGTGAATGGAGCTGCAATTACTGCAGTCCACAGGATTGTAGCAATGGATTGTAACTCGCTAAGGTTTGACACAAGGTAGATTTCCTCATCGTTATTTTATTTCAAGGATCCTTTTTTCCTAGCCTGAGGGTTTTCCTGTAGCTCTCAATATCAAAAGCAGTTTACTCTGAGTTTCTCTCTCCCCCCTCCACCACCCCCCCCCACCCACAAAGAAATTGATTGCAGTTGTTACGTAAATTCAGCATGGACGATGCTCTCACATCATTCACCAATGTAGTTGGGGCACAAAAAAAAAGGAGCGTGTGGCTTCTGCAAGGGTGCGATGCACTGGAACTGATCAGGAAACTTTTCAATTAATATCAAAGAAAACCGAGCCGGGTTAAATGACTTTTTCAATTCAAGAAAATTAGATTACAAAAAGCAGAATGTGGAGTCCTGCATTGCATCACAGACGTAAAGAATCGGACACNTTTTTTTCTTTAAGCTGAACGCAGAAAATGGCCCTACAGTGCTCCAAGCCATTCATTGCAATGATACGCATGCATCTGAGGCTCTTTTATTGATATCTCCTAACCTCTGAAACTAAACCAAATCAGAGAACACTGCTCCAATTTAAATGTCCGCATCATTTTTTTCTTTGTAAAAGTTTTTTTTAGAAAGAAACTGCAGTGATATCTTCCTGAGCAAATCTGTCCCCCACCACCCCATCTCCAGTAAATAAACATTTTGACCCCTACAAAAGTACAGTCACTCCACTTTACCATAAATTCTGTGAAGCCCTTTGAGATGTCTCAACGACATGATAAGACGCTATATCTCATACAAGGAAACACAAGGATTATTAGAGTGCAAGTGGATCATTGGTGGTTTGGCTGATTTTGACTTGTATAAAATTGATAAGGAGATTGTTTGGGAGACACTGTGCGGCAGTAACAAGCTGCGGGAACTACTGAAAAAGAGGGATTAGTTGGAAAATATCAAAAAGCGCACAGTCCACTTGGGACTAGGCATTCAAACTGCTGTATCATCACAAATCAAATCCCTGAGCATTTATAGTAACTGACACTTCAGGGTGGGCAGTGGTTGTTGTTTGTTACCTCTTTATACAAGTGGAAACCCTAGTGAAATGCACGTGGGCTGGAGAATTGCTTCGTCCCTTCCTTCTCTGGATCTCTTAAGCTGCAGTTTCAATTTTTAACATCTTGAGCTGCTGCCGTTAATTTGAAGGAATTCAAAGCACAAGTCCACACACATTTACTTGTCCCCCAACACAATTTTCCATACATTAGTAATGCTTAGTATTAATTACAGGAGCAACGCAGAAACACAGGCACGCTGAATGATTAACAGTATTTTTCTGAATAAGCTAACAAATGATCTTGTTGCATTTGTTACGGCGCTCAAAGGATTATTTTTGTATGTAACTATAGGAACCGAGGTTCTGCTCCAGGCTGATTTCATGATCTGCATTTCACAGAATCTTGCACGCTGGAGAAAGCCTGATGAAAGTGGTTTTATTTTACTAACTGCAGCAATTTTCAATAAGGCGACTATGGGATGCTGGTTTGATCAGCCGTACGATACAGAAACTAGTCCACAAATGGCCTGACTTTGTAACCAGCGAGAGATGTGAAGTTGTGAGTGGGTTGTTTGGGTCAGGTTATGAGTGGAATCATTTCTGCATCCAGGCGTACGTTCAGTAGTCTACTGCTGAACAAGTTTTTTTCATGTATAAATGCAAAAAATATGTATTTTGGGTGACTTCAATAATTTGAAGGTTCTTATATTAATAAACAGTCAGGATGCAGCATTAGGTGATGCTGTCAAGCAGGTTCCAATGCTGTGAAGATTCATTACGCTAATGCTTACAGGGCACTTCTCATCAGAGTACAAGTGTCGAGAAAACATTCAGTAAATGATCCAACTGCAAGTAACTTGCAAGAGGATTGTGTCACTTGGGCAGAAGTTCCTCTGGTTCCTTGGGGGAATATTTATTACACAGGACCGAAAGAGGACAGAAATTTGTGCACTTGCAAAAACTTATGCTTTGTTTCCCTGTCAAATAATAATAATAGTTGTATTTGATACAGTGCCTCATCACGTCTTTTAGACGCCTAAAGTGCTTCACAAAATATACTGTAAAGTGAATTGACTGTGTATTTTGTGGGTAAAATAGATATGTCTTCACTTGCTCCTGTGAAGGGGAGCAGTGGCCAACACTGTGGAATGGGAGTTGGGTGGGGGTAGGGAGTAGAATCTACTCTCCTGTGCTTCACCCTCTTCAACAAATGCCACATAGTGGCTTGAGGAGGCTTTCAATAGTACTAACTAACCACAATATAACTTGATATAAAATACAACACGCAGCACAAATGTTAGTCTTGGGCATATTGTTCCGTAACATCTGTATGTGCAGCAAGTTGCTTTTCATTTGTTACCCCGCCCTCCCATGTTTTTTCTAAGATAAGAACACAGTTTTCCTACGTGTTTTAATGAACCTAATTTCTGTTGAGTTATGTAAGAAAATGACTGTATTACATAAAGTGGCAAACGTGTGGCAACAGATGTGCACAATGCAGCGAGTGGCATCCTAAAGGCACAGTCACACTTGAATACGTTTGAACAAAGTAAAGCATTGAAGACTAAAATCCTTCACATCACCGCAATCATCTGTATTTTTACCTTTGACTAGATAAATCCATCGCATGATCCTGTCTGCCTACCTGTGTATAATGTTCTCATGTTTTGGGGATATTTTTCTGGACAATTTCCACACCCCCACTCCCCATATTTTATCTTGGATATATTTTATCGTGATAATACTGTCCTAGGGAGTACATCATAATGAAGTGTGTGTTACAATAAATGTATCTTTAGAGCAATAAATAGTTATATGAATAGAATTGGAAACCAAGGTTCAGTTAGCTATATAACAGGTGTTGATACTGAGCACCGCAACAAGGGAGACATGCATTAAATTCCATTCCTCCTCCAATACTGTCCCTTAGGTTTTTTACCTGACGGTCCGCTTTACTCCACAAAAAACTGCTTTGCAAAGCACCAATAACCCCAGATGGATCAGTATGCTTCACAGAGCCTCTCTCCAATCGGATTCTGACACTTTGTCTTGTACTACATAATTTAAGCAAACGATTCTGCATTATTCTGTGAAAAATTGAAAAAGAAAACACAAACGGCCACTTTGCATCTTAAAGATTACTCGAAAACAAAAGTGAGAGGTGAGGGGGAAAAAGAAGTAGCGATATTGTACATTGGAAACATAACAGGATTTTCACAAAATGACTGCGATCAATGTATTAAGTGGCAAATTAGTGTAACTAATCTTCTGGAAATTGATAAGTTAGTACAATATTACAGACTGATTTTTATTCGCAAATGACCAGAGGGTGACAAAATAACCTCACAGTTTCTTTCTAAAAGTGCAAGCAGAGGCGAATTCTAAAGAAATTCAGTGACGGTGATGCACATTCCCTGACACACAGGCTTTCAATTTTGTTGATGTTAAGTTAACAAATAGAGAAAAAAAATCTGAAGCCGAAGGTTGGTGCTCACTACACCTTTCACTTGAAAAAAAATCAAGCTCTTGCTTTTCCCCCTTTCAGATAATGTGCCAGGTTCACCAGGAAACTCTGTTAGAAAAGGACTTATTAGTATTTCCCTGAATACTGCCAGAATGCTGAGGTTGCCACATACTGTGCGTCTAGAAGGCAATGCTACCAGGGAGACGAAGGGTTAAACAACGGAAAGATGGCTCGGTTGTGGTACTGAGGGGAGAGAAAGATGGATGTGAGTCCTGTCTTGAAGCACTTAATTTATAGAAGAATTAAACTAGCTTAGCAGATGGAAGAAGATACATGAAGACACAAACTGCTGCTGCCTTTCCATCCCAGACTATAAATTAGTCTGATAAATGGGAAATTTATGACCTTAAAATATCTACCATCACCTATCATTTCCCTGGTGCTGTCACTGTAATTCTCTGAAATGCTATGGAAACTGCAGGACAAGGAACTCACACTACACTGGAGACTGAGGATTCCTCAAGGAAATGCCCAGGTATTTGAGAGCACAGCTGTACACAAACAGCTGAGCTCCAACACACAGGCAGCTCGCATCGCATCACATCACACAGAGAGAGACCTGCTTTTATTTTCTATTTAAAAGCCTCTTTTATGCACATAGCTCAAACAAACACAGCTCAGCCCAAGCACACAGGCAGCACGCAGGCAGTCGTGTTATGGTGAGAGGTTGTTAAGACAGGCGATGTAAATCTCTCGCTCTTTCTCTCTGTTTCTTTCTGGCTCTTTCAATACAGCGCACAGCACTGAATGAACACAGCACCTTCCCTTTACACAGACAGTACTTTCGCTGCAACAAAAGACTTGACCTCATAAAGCAAGGGCAAGACAAAGGAGTCGTTTCAATAAGCCACTTACCTCCTGGAGATAGAGAAAGGCCGGAGTGCAGGTGATGGTGTGAGGGAGCATAGCTGAGTTGGACAGCAAGATGCAGCCGGAGTTTGCCATTGAGCAGAGCATGTAACGGGGCAGTGTGTTTGTGTATGTGTGTGTGTGTATATGTCTGAAGCTCACTCGTGCTCTCTCGCTCTCTCTCTCTCACTTAACTACCTAAACTGCATTAATAAAGTGCTGGCGTGTTCTCCCTGTTCTTGAGCTGAATGATCAATGCAGTGGATGCCTATATTCTGTACCACTTAAGGACAATGAGAGAGGGGGAGGATCCCTAGTTTACTGAAGGTTGGGGGGGCTGGAGGGGAGAGGGAGCAGGTTGTTCAGTGAATGAACAGAATGTAGGATTGGGATGAGTTTTAGTGCTAATAACAACAGCCAGATGTCTGGGGGGAGAATTGATACCAGTTAGACTATCCTCAGAGGGGTTACCTTACATTAACATTCAATGGGTATCTGAAATCAAAACCTACTGAACTCTACTTTTGCCCTCTATATGAAAAGAAAATGTTAATTGTTTAAGAACAATTCTTCCGTCAAAAGTAAAAAAAAATGACAGCCTGGTTGTAGTTACAAAAGGATTATATTCACTCGGCTTTGCACACAAAATATAAAGTCAATTCACTTTGCAGTATATTCTGTGAAGCGTTTTGAGACAACTTGAAGACATGATAAGGCACTATATCAAATGCAAGGATTATTTATTATTATTATTATTATTCATGTTGTTTTTAGGAATTATGTAGAGGCTTAGCTCTTTATATACACACACACACATGTACATACTGATCTGCATTTTTAATGGTTTATTGCATATATTTTTGGACTGCAATTTTGCATTCCTGACAAGAGTTTGACCACAAGGGATTGTATACTACAGTTTTGATGCAGAAGTGGTTTCTCATAATTATTGGTGTAGATAAGATGAATACACACACACTTATTTAGGGCGTACACAGTACATTCATTAGTTTAAAATTAATTTAGAACACGTACTGAATGTTATATGCCTTGCTCATAGGGCTAGAGTACGATAAACTAGATACATCTGGGATACTTTTTAACGGGATTCCTTAACATGGAATTCTGCTGTAATTCTGATTGACCTGCGAGAATGAGTACTCCGCTCTGGACCTGGATCGCATTAGGTCCCCATGACATACTCTTGGTTCCCAGAAGTAGTACACTTTTGCGCAACCTTTCCAAGGAACCCCGTTAAGAAATACTGCAAAATTAGACACTGATGTACAGTAATAACACCAGCTTGGATTTATGTAGAGGCCCTCATGCAGGGTATCATCCCAGAGCACTTGACAATGGCAGATAGATAACAGGCAACTGAGGAAGAGAACTAGTGTAAGAGCAGATTTCATGTAAATGCATGTGAACAACAAGAACTAATTGCATTTATATAGGAATATAAATTTATTTATAAAAATATAAAATATATATTATTTGGAGCACAGACATTGTCAGTTAATATGGTCTCAAATTGCAAAGAGATTTCCTCCTCGCCTCCCCCCGCTACCCCACCTAAAACTTTTTGCATGATAACAAGCTCAAACACTTATTCCTTCTGTAGGAATCATGTTCACCGTGACAATGGTTTTCTGTCACAGATTCCTGCTCCGTTCAAAGAAATACTGGACCACATGTTCCAAAAATACTCAAATTAAATATTTATGGGAATTATGTGAGCTTCTGAAATAAATGTCTGAGTGATTCATTGCTGGAATCGCATCCTGGAAATATCCCCAGCACTTCCAGTCATTTGGAGCAGGATTCTTTGGCTCCTGCTAATTGCCATGCAAAGCCATCGCCTGGGTAGTCCTTGTTGGACAAGCAGTGGGAAGCTCACCAGACAGTGCTCTCAATGGCAAGCTATGCAGTTTTAATTGGTTAAGCTCCAGCTGTACCCAAGCCTTGCCTCTTCTCAACAAAAAGTTAGGGCTTCGCTAACCATGGGAGACATCTTCAAAGAACGCATCTTTCTGCACCTTATGCTTTTATTTCAAGTGCTCTGCTGCAACCCAACTCGCCCACTCCATCTCAGTCATCTAGGTTCCCGGCACTCACAGTATCAGCTGAGATTCGCTTCCAGCCAGTGCAAGGAAGCTGCTGCCATCCATGGCATCACCCCAGACAACAACAACAACTTACTAGCACCCTTCACATTGGAAAGACATCCCAGGGCGTTGGACAATCGGGGTTTTTTGGACCCGAGCTGGGAGTTGGGGTCAGGAGGGGTGGAGGGTGGGGGAGGTTGCTGTGGGAGGGTGGCCGACACCAGAACAGTATGACAGAATCTTGTTGCTTGCTACATCCAACTGCTGGCGAAAGCCAAAGAAAGCAACCAACTAACAGAACATTTCAGAGTGACCCAGCCTGTTGAGACCAATGTAAAATCCAGGATAACCCCATCATTCTTCGCAAGACATACAGACGAGGCCGCATACTGAAAGTGCACAAAACATCAGCGTCAACACCTAACACAGCCACAGCAGAACATTCATTCTCAATCTGCGTGTGTCCACAGCACAATACTGAATAATGAGGCACCAGTTCCAGTCTCTATTATCTTGTCCAATGCACAGTATTACAATTCATACAGTGAATTTACATTTACAGCAATATCAATTCAATATAAATCCTGGCTCAATAGGTAGTATTCTGATCTCTGAGGGCAAAAGGTTCAGGATACACATTGTACTTTGAGTTTATAGTCCAGGCTGATACTCCAGTGTAGTGCTGGCAGTGGGTTGCATTGTCAGAGGTGCTGACCTTTGGATGAGACATTAAGCCAAGGTTCCATCTGCCGGTTCAGGTGGATGTTAAAGTTCCCATGGCAATATTCAAAAAGAGAAGGGAGTTTCTCCCAGTATCCTGGCCAACAATCCCCCAAATAAAAACAAACAAAAAAATGGTCATTCACTTCGTGACTGTTTGTGGGATATTGCTATGTGCAAATTGGCTACCACATTCACCTACTGATAATAGTCACGACACTTAACAGAAAACTCTGTGAAGCACTTTGAGATATTTCAATGATACAACACAATTTATCAAATGCAATGATTATTACTTTTTATATAGATCTTTCAACGACACTCTGCCTCTGTTCAAGTCACACTCGCTCAAGTTAATTAGTGGCACAGCAATCCATCACTTTCAGTCTTGCAATTGTCTGAATCCATATGTAATGGTGCATTGAAAGTGATCTAATGCCTGGTGCAAGCCTATACCTGCAGGTCAGTAGACTTGCACTGGTAAGTGGACTAGCTTTCAGCCACCAGAACTACCATACAAAATATTCCCAATGTCCCTATGGTCTCCGATGCAGCAAACCGTATTTGGATGCACAAGAAAGCATGGGATATTGATTAATATAGCCTTTAGGCAGGCTCTGCAGGATACAGTTCACTGCTCTATCCATCTTTCCAACTTGAGGCATAAGTGACAGCATTAGATGCTTGAGGTGGACAGGGCTATGTGAGGTACCATTTCTGCACATCTGTAATAGAAGTCAAACGTTAGATGATGATGAATTCTAGGTCCTTTGTACATCATACAAGCAACACATACATGATCGCAAGAGATTACAAGACATTGTGAAGCATTTAGTGAAACAGAATAGATCCACGGCTTAAGCCATTGTCACATGTCTGCTCATCGTTTTCTATTTAACTCCATGTTGTTGGCCTAAGCTTCAACTTGCTTAAGGCAGAATTACTGCAGCAAAGTCAGAACTGTCAGCTTATAAAAATTAACTTATAGCTCAATAGCTGAACTTGACACTATTCGAAAAGAGGAGGGAGTTTCTTCTGGCATCCAGCAATCCCCCAGAGAAATTAATTCTTCACTTCATGACTGTTTGTGGAACATTGGTTTGTGCAAATTGGCTGCTGTTACGCCAACAACAATAATAATAACAACAATAATCCTCGGATTTGATACAGCACTTTCCACGTCGGGAATGACTCGAAGCACTTCACAGGTTATACTGCAAAGTGTAGTGACTGTGTATTTACGTAGGTGAAAGTGGCAGCCAATTTGGGCTCAGCAAATGGCCCACCCAAAAAAAACATGAAGCGAATGCGTAATTTTATTTTGAGGGATTGTTGGCCAGGACATCAAGGAGAAACCCCCTTCTCTAACAACAAAAAAGATTTCCAATAAGGAAATGTGTTGGAGAGAAAGAAAGAAAAACACTAGATGCACTCAATATGCTAGTTTTGTTTGTATTTTTGTGCACAGGACAAGGTTACTAACCTGCATCCAAATGGTTTCCCTACATAGCCTAGAAGGTATACATTTCTTTAATGAAGAATTTAAGACATTTGCCAGACAAGGAGACTTTTGTGGCGTATCTTCTAGTGAAGACGATTTCCAAATAAAGACAGCGATTTTTTTTTGGGGGGGATGGGGTGGGGGGGGGGAGAGGTTTATGTTTAAAAAAACAAAAACAATTCTTGCGAAGATTTGGCTAACACAAGTTAACAGGGAGCTGGTACATCAGAAGTCAGAGGTCACCAGTAATAGCCTTGGCTCAGCTTTATCTCAATGACATTGGACGCTTGAATAAAGTTGCCAGATTTCTCCCTTGAGGCTCTGTTATAATTGAAGGAAGTCCAGCAACAATGAAAATTATGCCAATAGTTCCATGGGTGGCCGAGTTTTCAGCTACTATGCCTCTGGCCTCTGGAGCTCCCTCCCTCGACTGTCCATTTCACCCACTCTCTCTCTCTCTCTCTCTTTCTATCTGTCTTTAAATTTCACCTAAAAACCTACCTCTTGAACTATCTCTATGGTCACTTTGCTCTTCCGTCCCCCCCTCCTCCGTTACTCAGCGTCTGACTGAGTAACGGAGGAGGGGGGGACGGAAGAGTAAACACTTGTGAAGTGTTCAGAGATGTCATCCACGTGAAGAATGCTATACAAATGCAAGTTGTTGTTGTTTTCTTATGGGCTTCTTCAACATAGCACATAATAGTTAGCAGGAAAGGTCAGGTAAACCAAAGCCTTCTAGACCAAGTGACCTGTGATTTTTTTCAGCCCAGCCTCAGTACCGCAGAAGGCAAAATACTGCAGATGCTGGAAATCTGAAGTAAAAGCAGAAGTCGCTGGGAACATGCAGCAGGTCGGGCAGCATCCATGGAGAGAAGAAAATGAGTTAACGTTTCAGGTTGATAGCCAAGTTCAGGTTCTGACAAAAGGTTAGCGGCCTGAAACGTTAACTCATTTTCCTCTCTCCATAGATGCTGCCTGATCTACAGTACTGCAGCACCGATTAAGGCTTTGGAT